CAGAAACAGCTCGAGGGTTCATTGTAAGAAAGAAGGAGCAACCAAAACTCACAGCTGTTGAGGAATATGGTCAGTGCAGGTAGCTCTGGGTTGTGAGAGCACAAGGCAAGAGGCTGTAAACTGGCACCAAACTTAGCATAACAAAGGGCATGGAGATCTGTTGCCAGTCAGGTGAGCAAACACTTGGAGACATAGCAGGACCCAAGTACTCTGCTGGAAGATCTCAGGCTTTTGTGCACTAAGACTGTGAGGGTATCAAAACCCAGGATTTACTTTGTTCAGGATCCCTCCTCAGAAGCACCCAGCTCCAGCTGTTATTTTTTTATTGCAGTTGAGGCCCCCATTGAGAAGGGGTTTTGGTCCTTAGCTCAGGTGGTGCGAGTGCCACTACCAGAGTGGCTCCTTGATGGTCAGACAGGAAAGTTTCCTTAACATGACTTGTTTTATAATCATTATAATTAGAAGTGTTGACTCAGTGCTATTGGAAATATTTGTCAACTTATAAAAATACAGATTGTTGATTTTAGTCATCACAAGCTCAAAGCACAGACATCCCATTGCCAGAGGTCCTTGGCTCAGCTACATCAAAGTAACACTTGATGTATACTCCATGTTATGGAAATAAAGGTTCTTCAGCTCTACCAAAACACTGACAAAGTGTACCGATTTTGATTAGTCTACCTCACTGATCAATCACTACACAGTGACTGATGGGAATGACTCAAGTAAAAGGCATCATCATGCTGAGCACATGCAGAGTTAGATTTATTCACAATGCAGCATTTGACTCTGGATAGACTGAGTTCTCTCTTCTGTGATTGTACATAGACCAGTGCCTCATGCTGAGTTAATCAGTGGTTTAGGAGATCTTTTCATTATTGTGTCTTTAGTTCATTGTGATCACTGCTGGCCAAAAGAGTTAGAGGCAATAAATTCATAAGCATGGAAGATTTTATTTGACTTTGAATAATATCAGCCAATAATAGCTGTAATATGAACAACTGTAAATACTTTTAATGTTTTAATATAGTCAAAAATTATATTGTTGAGCATTAATGATTTAATATTTCTATCTGAACAACATATATGTTGAGGCAAGCTTGGAAATCAAATTTGAATAGTTTCAGTAGTTAGTTCAAAAGATAAAATAGTCATTTCCTGAAATAAAAACAGCCAAATTATTGCTTAGATTATTAATAGTGCTGTAAATATACCTTGCTTTGTACCTGGGAAATGAGGCTGAAAAGGCTTGGTCACATTCTTTTTAGGGAATCACAAAGGTCATATTTATGCCTATTTATGTTTAAAATAAGTCACCTTTATTACATGAAAGCTGAAATTTGGCTATTTATACTTCTGGGGAGATTATGTTTCTAAATATTTAAAAAATTTCTGGTTGTCCTGAATACCTAACTTCAGCTTTGCAAAATAATGTTGGACATATCAAGAAAAAAGAAGTACATACATATTATTTTGCCTCAAGTATTATTACATTTGTTTTTGTCATACAGAAAGACTTAGGTTTGGTGTTAAATATTAACAATAAAGTTAATTATTTACCATACTAGGGACTACTCACAGGGTTGTGAGACCTTTGCGAATTTGTATGAATTATCAGCTTTTGTCTTAAAATGACAATTTTCTTCCAAATTTAATTATTTTTTAAATAGCTTATGTGGCCTGCTTTGTGGTTTCTTGTGGTGAGCAAGAACAGCATACAGCAGCTCAGCGTTACCACCCCTAGTGGGTGGGAAATTTGTTGTGTTTTGCTTTCCAGGAGGTGGACTGATTGCTGCAAATGACTGGGAATGTTGCTAAGCGGGTTCAGATATTTTATAGAACATTTGCTTTCCAGATTAAAAAAAATTAAAAAAATAAAAAATCCTGCTTTGAAATCACCACAGAAACCTGTTCCCATTGCAGTGGCTGATGTCTCACATGAAGCCTGTGGCAGTCTTCTATCAGGATTAAACTGACAACGAGACCAGTAGTAAGCCCAGATTTTACGTTTCATTATTAGAATCACAAAAAACCCAGCAGCCCAATACCAAAGATACAGCAGGGCTGCCATCCTAACCTCTAGGTAGAACAAACAGCTGTAGCAAATGCTGTGGTGAGCAGTGAGCACCTGAGCTTGCTGTGCAGCATGACATGGCAGGCACTGTGTGGATGACAGGCAGTTTCTGGGACCTGTTCACCTACTCTTAGCCAGCCAGTAGATGCAGCCTTGCACTCTGAGTATCCCATAGCTTGTGTAAACAGAGGGGCTGTGGGAATTGGGTGATGTCTGGCTGACGGGAGACCAGATTCTGGGTCAGTACTACTGGCAGATGAAATACAGGAAATAACCTGCAGAGTCACCAAACTATCAATGAATGTCTGTGGGCACATACATATGAAGGAACAGAGTCCTGCTATGTCTGTCACCATGTTCAAAGCATGTATTGAGAGCATGTTTGATCTAGAGGACAATTCAGTGTATTGTTCTTTTTGAAGACAGTGTAGATTTCTGTCACAGAGTCCCACCAAAGCTACTCTTGGGCACAAAAGGCTGAGCAGAAAGACTTAAGTGAGGAATAAGAAGTCATGAGAGAGTTGGGGTTGTTCAGCCTGGAGAAGAGAAGGCTTGAGGGGGTCTTATAAGAAAGATGAGGACAGACTTTTTAGGAAGGCCTCTAGCGATAGGACAAGGGATGATGCTTTTGAACTAAAAGAGGGTTAATTTAAAGTAGATATAAGGAAGAAGGTTTTTTTTGCAATGAGGGTGGTCAATTCTCTGGGCACAGGTTGCCCAGAGAATTGATGGGTGCCCCATTCCTGGAAACATTCCAGGTCAGGATGGACCTGGCTCTGAGCAAGCTAATCTAGCTGAAGGTGTCCCCACTCATTCCAAGGGGAGTCAGACTAGATGACCATTAAAGCTCCCTTACAAACCAAAATATTCTATGATCTATGATAATGGGTTTAACACAGGCAGATATAGGTAAAAGCAGCTAAACTCCCTTAAACACCTGAAAAAAAAAATCCACTGATGAAAAATTTATTTCTGTCTTAATTAGTAACAGCTACCAGTTTCCTACTATTCTACTCAATAAAAAAGAAACTTTTTAATTAATCAGCAAGTTACTGTCAAACTACACCTGTCTGACAAAGCACCTGTTCGTGCTTTCATTATTACAAACACATAAAATATCTGACAGACGGCTCCTGAACACGCGCATTTAATTTAGTAGAACTTTAATTTTATGTTAGACTCATGAAGTATAGACCGACCATATAATTCACTCATATTTATCTGGTTGTTAGTTCTGATGAGGACCTAAAATGAAATCAGTGTAGGCAATGTCTATGCATAATCAAATATTAATATTGAAACAGTTACATCCATCCAGGGACAGAAGAAATTAAGAGAAAATGCAGAACTGTCTACATAAAATCCCCATTCTATTGCCAGCAACTCAGTAATACAATTCTTTTAATAAATAGCTCTTCAGTTCTCCTTCTCCAGCACATGAGAACTGAGATCTTCCAACCATTTTCCTGCTATAAATCTGTTTTCATCTAGTGTTGGTCACTTTCAAGAACAGAAGACATTCAGGAAACTTACAAAATAGAAATTACTAGGTATGTTGGCTCACAAAGCAGTTACAGAGCTTTAATTTGGCCCACGAGTCAGTTTGTCCATAGTTTTCTATGATACTTAGTTTTGTGTATCAGAACCCACTTCAGTGCCTTGAATCTTCATTTGTCTGTGTAACACACAATCATATTTACAGGTGGGATATATTTATAGGTGGGATATATTTCTACCTCAGTGCAGTCTCACAAAGTTAAACATTTAGACATTCTGTTTCTCTATAGGTAATGATTATAGACCGATAACCTACTGAAATTCATCCCACTTGTGTGGCAATGAGACAGCTTGCTTCCCTAAGGTGTCACTTTACTATAGAAGAACAGAGAACTAGTCTACAGTTGGAGTTTAAAGTTAGGTGATTTAACACTCTCTCCAGTGCTTTGTTGGTGGCCACAAACTGAAAAGAGCACCCCTGAGAACTTGTCGTGGTTTTGCCCACCAGCCCATCCCTGGGGCTGAGGATGGTTTTGTCCAGGTGATTTCCGGACAAAAAACCAATCAAAAAGTTCAGTGACGCCTTTGCTAATTACATCTTTAAGAAAACGGAAGAGAAGGTTGGTTGCGCAGTTGAAATTAGGAACAGGAGCCATGTAGAAGAGTAGCGGGCCCGAGGAGGGCCAAGGCCCCCTCCTCCCCGGCTTGGGCCGGGGGGGGCAGGTGTAGTACTGAAGCCTCCCTTCTCTTCTGTAAAAGAGTGAAGAAAAAAAAGTTTAAAAGATGAGCTGCTTAGACGAGAAACCGCTGCAGAAGAATTCCAACCATGAGATAACAGGACTTCCAAGGTCAAAGCTGGCAGTTGCAGGAGAGAGAAGAAAAGTTCGAAGGGGGGAGAGCTGCTTTTTCTCCCTTTCGCTCTCCCTCCCTTCAGCAGGGTAAAGACTGAAAAATAAAATCCCTGCCACCTGTGAAAGTTTGTTGTGGTGAGGAAACCCCCCATGCGGCTCACAGAGGAGCTTGTGGATGTACCAGAAATTTGTGACTTTAACAGAGAGAAAGCCTTATGCTGGAGCAGAAGCGGCTCGGATGAGGCAGAGTCCTGTTAAAGACTTTGTGACCCTTGAAGGGGACGATGCTTATGCAGGAGCGAGACGGCTCAGATAAGCTTGGGATCTCAGTGAGAGATCCATGCTGCTGCTGCTAAAGATTTATAACCCTGAGGGGGATGAGGACCTACGCTGGAACAGAAAACGGTTTGGGTAGGGATGTTGGGATCCATGCTGCTGTTGTTGAAGATTTATGACTCTGAGAGAACCCATGCTGGAACAGAAGACGGCTCAGGTGGGATATTGGGATCCATGTGTGGGATCCATGCTAGACCATGTTGAAGAAGTCTATCAAGGACTGTTCTCCCATGGGGAGGGACCTCCATAGGGAAACAGGGGTAAACTCTTAAACCATTATCCCCTGTAACCCTGTGGAAGAAGATCCATAGTAAGCAAGTGTCCCCTTGCAAACCTATGGAAGGAGACCCTTCAGGACCTGGGTAACTCCCAGCCTTCGGTTTTAGCCCAGGAGGGGGGTAGACCCAGCCCTGGAGGCCAACACAGAATGAGAGAGAGATAAAGGAGTTCCAGCTGTGACGAAAGTGCTGCAAAGTTACTGAAGAGAAAAAGAGAGCTGGAATTCCGAGAATGGAAAAGGACTGCTTCTCCTCCTTGGACTGATATAAAGGGGGGTGGGGGGAGAAGTATCTTCTGTAAATACATAATACTTTTTACTTAAGTAGAATTGTTGTAGATATAATTCTTTAGTTTTAGCTTGTTAATAATAAATACTCATACTTTTTTTTCAATTCAGTTTCTTTTTGTCTGCATAAACCTTCTCTCAACTGATAGTAATTGTATGGGGGGTATAAAAGTAAATTGAGCCAGGGCAAAACCACGACAGAACTACACACAGACCTCAGAGAAGTCACATTGTTCCCTAAGGGCTGAAAGAGACCATTTCCAGAGAAGATGGCTTATACTGCCGAGCTTCTGTAACATCCCAGAAAAAGGGTTTGGCCCAGACCAACCTCTTGTCTCCTGTACAGTCTTTAGCATCGACTCAGAATATATCAAAAGCTGAGACTTAGCCTGAAGAGTAATTTTAGGTGTGGTGCCCTTGGTGTAAACAGCAAAGGAGTTTTACCTGTGAGTGTGTGTGCACACATGATAGTTGGTCTCCAGGGTTTGCCAGGATTCTAGAACCATTTAATTGATTAACATTGCTGCATTTTTGCCCATCCAAAGGTCTCTGGGTTTTGTTTTCTTCTGCTTGAAGTCTAGAACTAAATATTCATAATTTTAAAATACTTACATTTGGAATTAGGAGCATATCAGTTGACATTTTTACTGGATATTTTTTGCAGATAAAATAATTTTTTAAGACAGTAATATTGATAATTGAATGAGCTGATTTAAAAAAAAAAAAGTTTTAAGTTATTTTTCCATTCAGTCAAATATTTGTTGACTACCTGTCTTTCTCTTGGGAACAAATTTGCTAATTAAGTCATGACAACAATGATATTGCCAACATTATGTAGAAAAATCCGCTTAGATATACCTCATTCTTCTCTCCCTAAACTGCTTGGTGTTGTTAAATTACTATTCCTTAGTTAGTATGTTCCCTTGTATATAATTACCTGATTAATCTTGATTGTGGCTGATCAAGGATTATTTTAATAAAATTGATTATGTTTTACTCAAAGACTGTAGATTTATTTGATCTTTTAAGAGGACCATGACTTCTAATTGACCCTTAGTTGTGAATTGCTCTGCTAACACTTATTATCTGAAATGAGTAACTGATGGACTTTTCTTGGATTAATCTTTACGGTGATTTATTGCATACTCATGGTGTGATCCACTTGGCTACTCACAGTTTTTGACTTCTCTAGGTAAATTGCAGTTTTAATGGTGAGCACAGCATACTTCCACTAATAAATTCATTAAATACTGTGATACTTGTAATATTTTTCTTCATCCACCTATATGTGATTTTTTAAAAAATACTGGTTGTTATTTTTTCTTATTTAACATGCTTGCTTAAAACTACCACCCCAACATTTCATTCTATTTGGAAGACTAGAGCCCTACTCTGAGAACTCTAGAGGAAAAAGCCAAATCACACACATGCTGAATGATATAATACCAAAACTACAACGAGTGTGTAAAAAATCAAGGACACAGTGGTGGATGTGTTCTATATCTTTTGCTTCACTACTGTTCAACACATTGTGCAAAAGATGAATGGGAATTCTCAGGGATCTCCAGACTGTCATGGTATTTAATGACAAAACTGGCAAGCCCTAAAAAGTGGAAGGAGTTGCAGTGAGCATTGTCTTAGCAATAAATGGGAAACCAGGTCTTAGGGAGTCATAACAGAACCATTGTGAAGAATTTATTACAATATAGTTGTTAAATACTCTTAATTTCCCCAGACACTCACCTTGAAACCAACCTAGAAGCAGTGCATTCTTTAATATAAAGGGTTTAACTTACATCATCCTTATTCTTTTGAGGTCAATGTGATATATAGAGGTCTGATGAAAAACACATTAAAAACAGTCTCTGAAAACTGTTTGTCATTCACCAATGGCATGAGTTTCAAGCCAAAAGTCCTTAAATACCAGCAGAAGTCTTGTGATACTTGGCAATTATTGCAGTATTAGTGATTTATGAAATCCGTCATGGGTAAAAATAATTTTGTCTTGTTTAGTCTAGTCAGATGAAGATGACTGAGGGGAGAAAAAAGTCAGTGACTTCCCTCAGATTCTGGAATGGATTATGACTAGTGATGTTATTAAATTTAGACAGTTAAAATAGCTTTTCAATATACTGAGGATAACAAAAGAAGGGATTGTGTTAATATCAAAGCTGACTACTGCTAGCAAAAGTTCAAATGTATTAGCATTCATCTCTGTCCTGTCATCTTGGCTTTTCTTCATCTGTGATTTTGTGAGCGATGCTCCAAGTGGAGACTGAATTGTGATAAATATTTATATCCAAATCCAGTGCAAGTGATAATGCGAATATGTGCACCTTCCAGAGTTGTGAACAGAACAAGTGTTATAGTTTGGAAAGCAACTTTGTGATAAAAGGGCCTAAGTGATTTAACTACTTTCAAAACCAGAACTGGAATTTTAAGGTCTTAATCAATGAGAATGATGGTTACACAATTTCTATATTTAGGGTTTTTTTAGTTTTTTTCCTAACTCATCCAGAAGCCAAAATCCTAGAGTTAGGTAATTTTAAAATTCTCAGACATGCATTCCTTTGAAAACAGTGAGATATGTATGCCTGAAAATGTTCTCTATGTTTATCTATATGCAGTCAACAACAGAATAGGGAAGTGGGATCTGGGCCAGGAAAATCTGTGTTTATTTTGGTACCAGCATAGGTCGTTCTATCCAGTATCACTGAACAAAACCTATTGCTGGACACTCTTCTTAAGCCTCTTGTTTTGCTGTCATGTTCTGCTATTTTTACATGAGCCTTCACAAAGTGAAAAATGCCCATGAAAGATTTCTTTCTTACAAGATGCAGTACCAACGTTGAGGTGCTGTAGATCACCAAATAGAGAGGAAATACTTCTTTATAACACAGTCAAATTAAATACCCAGGTGAGCTGAGTCAGTCAAAGTTCTTTTTCTCAGTCTATACTTACAAGTGCTTTTGCGTTCTCAATCTTATGGATTACTCGTTTTACTAATATCAGAGCTTATAAAGCCCTTATGAAGCTATAGGTCCCTCTATTTTTGATGTAGATCTATGTTAAAAAAAAAAAACAAAAAAACCAAACCAAAACAAACCAAAACAAAAAAAACCAAAACCCAAACCAAACCAACAAACAAAACCCCATCAACAAAAAAACCACAAACAAACAAAACAAACAAAAAAACAAAAAAACAAAACAAGAAGTCCTTCACTTAGGACCACATCACTCACAATAGTGAATGATGAGGTTGGAGAAGAGCGTGCCCAGCAATCAGTGTGGGGCAGGGTGTGCATAAGAGCAGTGTGTTCAGGGATGGTCCCCATGGACACACACAAGTTCCTCTCCCTTTTACAGTCTTCCTCTCTTGAATTCCCCACCCTTACTTTCCTATGCTGTTATACCTGTGATGACTCCATGACCTCTCTTTCCTCCCAAGGAGTCCAGTTTCTCCAGGGACTTCCCAAGAACAGCCTGAATGAAATCACTTCAGTCCTAAACTCCACATCTTACTACACTAGATTTTCTTTCCCATATGCCACTGCCATTGTTCTTCTCCTGCGTTTCAATGAGCACCACTGCTACCCTCCACCAGTTGCATTGGCTGCTTCTTCCTCAAAGAAGGGAGATCTGTGTCTCCCTTCAAGATAAAAACACAGTTCCTTTCTCTTCTCTGTCTATTATTTAAAAACAAACAAACAAACAAACAAACATTAAAGAGACTGAATTCAGCACAAGTCCATCCAAAGAAATAAAATTAAACTGTGTACAAGGTAAAAAACCCCAGATCTGTGGTGATCCTACATAGGAGAAGCATAAGAGGACATAAGCAAGTTTATTCAAGGTAAGCCTAGGAAGAGCACTGAGCTCCATCTACTAATGATATATATGTTAAAAAGAACTGTTGACACCAAATGACAAGGATAGATGTCCCTATTTGCCTTTAAACTGAAAATAAGAAGCTGATTTCTAACAACTGGAGGAACAAGATTCCAGAAGAGTCTTTCAGCAGCAGAAGGGAACTAGAATACAAAGGCAGAACCTGGCCAGTTACCAAAAGTCATTCTGTGACAGATTTACCTGCTGGAGATGAGAACACCACGTGATGATTAGGGAGATCCCTTCCACTTCTGCACTGCTTTCTGTTCTTCATCCATTGGATTTCCTTTCTCCTTTGAGTTCCTGCAAGCTGTCAGGCAAATCCTGTGTCTTCTGTCTCTAACACCCCAAGTGCAACTTAGTGTGCTATAAATAGGAGTGATATGCACCCTTGGAGTACATTAAATACAGTGTAAACTTCTCAACAGGATAGATATATCAACTCTTTCTCTGTTTTCTTAATAGTTATATAGCTGCATGGTAAGTACAAGGAGCAAAGGAAAATATAGTGTGTACTTTATGTTGCTGGAGGCAGAATAAAGAGATTTTTCTTCACGTTGGTGGGAACTGCTTTGAAATTAACCATAATAAACAATGCAAGTATCATCTGGTGTTTTGAGTGTGCTGTCAAATAATGGATGTTCTACAAGGTACATGTAAAAGAATAAGACAGCACAAAATGTTAACTAGAAAATGGCATAGATAAATTTAAAAATAATAATAAAAAAACCCACTCAGTAAATAAGGCAAATGATAAAAGTAAATGATAAAATTTAAAATACTCCATAGTAAGCTAATTGCAAAAAGATTGTTAAATAATGAATATCTCTGAAAGTTTTGATTTTGAAATTTGAGTTTTTTAGAGACTGGTAGAATGAATGAAAAATAATATCCC